TCACTGTCCATTGTTGCGTCTGAAATTATGCCTCAACCTTTCAGATCTGCCTGGATAGCATGGAGATCTCTTGTGTGTATTGGTTGATGGTGTTCTTCAGAGCATTTCTAAAATCCATCTCCGAAGGACCGTTTATAATAGCCTCTAGTCTATACCCTGATTTAATGTGGTTCCAAAGTTCACCTCTAGACACCGAACAGGTCTCTACAACGATTTCCCTTTATCAATCTCTGCTCACCCTTCTTCTCTCTCAGCCTAGCTCAGGAAAAACAATATATATGTAAACATGTGTACATTCACACACAAACGCATATATATTATATAGAACTATAGTGTTTTGACCTTAAAGGGAATAAGCAAGGGAAAATAAGAAAAATGTCAATGTAGTATTGCCAAACACACACACACACACACACACACACACACCCACCCATTTGGATATTCACAGTGTGCAGACTCGATTGATTATAAATCCAGTGCCCAAGAACAAGAACAGCAGGCGTCTTCTTCCATTTACCTTCAAAGCCAGAGCCTAAGGGAGCAATGACCTTGCAGAGAAATTCATCACCTGCGAGAAAGATGGTCCCTCCTGAAGCGCAGGATAGGATGGGGACAAGAGCAACAGGCAAAGGATCACCGGGCAAAATGTGGGACCGAATCTATCCCCAGCAGTACCGAGCACACCGCAAAGCGCCCGTCCCCCGGGGTGGGACGCCCGGCAGAGGTGGCGCGGGGGGGCGTCTCCTGCCGCGGCCGCAGGTCGCCTACCTGCTGTCGCCCGGCTCTCCCCAGCGTGGCGGGGTCACTGCCTGCGCTGTGGCGGGGGCTTCCCGTCGCATATCCCAAGCAGTGGCTCTCAGCGCCACACGGATGGCTCCGGTGTGCTCGGGAGCGGCGGTCCTTCTCAGACCTGTTCCGGGAGCGAGCTGGGTGCTTGCAGGAACTGAAATTACTATGCAAAGAGCAGAGGCGGCGCGCAGGAGCCAAGCGGAGACCGCGGGGGCCGCCCCCACCGCGGGGCTGCAGCCACAGCCGCCGGCGCGGGGCACAGAGCTAAATTGGAGGCGGGAGTTCACGTGCCCGGCTGCTCGTCCGTCAGGCCCGGGGGGCGCCCATCTGTCCACGCAGGGCAGCGCTGCCCCGCCGGAGCATCCGTGGAAGGGGAGGCAGCTTCGCAGGCGGCGGTGGCGGCAGCGGCGGCAGCAGCAGCAGGACGTCGGGCTCCGCCCCCGCCGCACCCCCGCCCAGCCTGCCGGGTCCCGCGGGAAGGGGTTGCCGCGGCGGTTGCTGCGCGCCTGCGGGGGAGAGAGGGGGTTTGGAGCTGGGTAGGGGCTGGCAGGTTGTGGTTCTGCTGCAAGCATCCAGTAGCAGATGGAAAGTTAAGAAGGGGATTAAGGTGGAGGGCTGGGGCGACTCAGCGGGAATTCTGGCCCTTGCTCCCTCCCACAGGTCACCAGACTCCATGGCTGTGTCTAGACTCTGGCAGGCGGTTTCTAATAAAGCCACGTGCAGTGAACATCTGAAAACAAGATCACCCGATGTTTAATATGTATTGCAAAATGTACAGTGTCCTGCGTATGTGGAGATGGCAGTGCTGACAGTGTTCCTGTCTCCTCTCCCCCACTCGCCCCCCCCCACCCCCCGCCGCCTTCCATGGGTGTGGATGGCTTTGGAAATCGTCTCTGCTGAGTGACTCCAGCAATACTGAATGGATGTGTAGTATGGTTAGCAGCTGTAGATGGTGCGAAATGATACGAGGAAAAGAGCTATTATTAAATAAGTGTTTGTTGGCAGGCACGCTGCAAAATGCCTTATATGCAGCCTCTCGATTTCTCATAACAATCCGGTGAGGTGGGTATTATTCTCCACTTTATTGATGAGAATTACTGAAGCTTTGATGATTTAGACACTTTGCTTGAGGTCACACAGTAGTACTGCCACAGCTGGGGTTCAAACCACTCCAACATATATCCTCTCCACTAGTGCAACTGGGACGCACCCAGGGATCTTGTTAAAATGCAGATTCTGATTCAGTAGGTCTGGGTGGGCGTGAGGATCCGCGTTTCTAACAAGCTCACAGGTGATGCCCATGCTGCTGGCCAAGGCACCAAACTTTCTAAACCACCGGGTCAGGATTTTAAATAAGTTTCTCCTTTCATGCTGGCTCTAGTTGATTGATAGCAACTTCCTGAAGGTGGGTTAAGAAGGATTCTAAGGCTGTGTCTTGGCTCTTGGGCAAAGAATGCTGCAGTTAGCTGTGTTCGATGTGGTTGAAGGTTGTGACAAGTGTGCTGGGTGGCCATCCCTACAGTGGGCCCCTTCTAAAACAATATGTTTATGACAGGGGTGGTTATGGTGTAATATTTAAGATATCAACACACTAAGGGCAGATGTCTTCATTCCAATTCTCACCCTTAATGAAAACCTTAAGTCAAAATTTTACACCTAACATTTGTGTAACATGAAACACTCGACAAAGTGTCCACATGAATAATTTTGTCTTCATAACAACACTGTAAGGCAGTATAATTTCACTTTACAGGGAAGGAAACTGAGGCAGAGTGATTTTCCTGAGATTACACAATTAATATGCATGTAGTAGGGGCTAGATTGTGGCGATCTCTAGTTCAGGGTTGTTTTTACTGTAGTACTGTATTAGTTTCCTACTGCTCCTGTAACAAATTACCACAATTCTGCAGCTTAATACAACATAAATTTATTATCTTACAGTTCTGGAGATCCAAAGCCTGAAAATAGGTCTTCCATGGCTCAAATCAAAGGGTCAGCAGGGCCTGACCTGAAGGACAGAATCTGTTCCTTCTTGTCTCTTCCAGCTTCTAGAGGAAGCCTACATTCCTTGGCTTGTGACAGCATCACTCAGACCTCTATTCCTGTCATCTCATCTCTTCTGACTCTGATCCTCCTGCATCCCTCTTATAAAGACCCTTGTGATTACATTGGGTCAACCCAGATAATCCAGAATAGTCTCCCCATCTCAAGATCCTTAAATTAATCACGTCTGCAAAGGCCTTTTTGCCACAAAAGGTAACATATTCACAGGTCCCAGGATGTAGCTATTTTCGGAGGGTCACCATTATGCCTACAAAAACCTCACTTAATACTTATCCTATAGTTTCCACTGTACCTTACTCATCCATCTCTTCTGCTCGATTTCTCAGACTGCTAGGAAGTTCTTTCAATGGAAAAATTCACTTGCAAGTCATTCAAAAGACAATAACAAATGTGTACTGGCAAGAAATACCCCCGGGTCATGAAAAGGCCATGAGGATGCATAGGACTATGGTGCAAAAAGGACGCATATAATTAGGAGCTGCTTATTGGTCTGAATGACATTGAGGTAATCCTAAAGGGAAGTTCTAACCACAGTTAAAGGCCTTCTTTAGCAATATGGAATTTTCCAAAATTCTGCTTCTCAAAGAGTACTCTGTTTCATGGTAAATAAGGCAATTCAAAATTCGTGCAAAATTGAATATAACACCCAATTCCAAACAAAGTGATCGTTTTCAGAGTGATGATAAACATTAAACCGGTATGTCAAACAACATCAATAAATATTCTTGAACACCTCTTATGCTCAAGACACAGAAAATTGTGACATACAGAAGTTTATCATTTCACTGGGGACACAGAATTTATGAAAAATGAAATACTAAAGGACTTAGAAGAAATAATAGGAGAAGCAACATGACATGGTTCATGATTAATTGCCAAGTGAACTAGATAAAGTGAACATTTTGTTTGGAAGTTAGATTTATACAGGGGAGTGGAGAGAAGACTGGAAAGGCAGGTTGGAAGGCTGGGTTGTGAACGATCTTAAATATCAAGCTAAGGAGTTTAGACTTAGTCTGCAATAATAACAACGCTAATCATACCTTATGTTCACCTAGTGCCCAGCAATTTACTTTGTCATTTGACTTCCTCCCTTCTGCCCCGAGACAAACAGGCCAATGTGCGCACTTGCGCACACGCGTGCGCGCACGCACACGACACATGGGGAAGGAAATGCAAGCCTCTTATCAGAGATTGTCTTGACCACTCTGCGGAAAATAGCAGCTCCCCTCCCCACTTACCTGACATCTTTCTATTCTCCTTTCCCTGCTCCTTTTTTCCCATTGGCCTTACTACTGCATCTTGATGGAGCAGGTATCTGTTGATTGTATGTCCACTGTCTATGAGGGCAGGGACTTTGTCTCCTTCCTTTGCTGCCATAGCTCTATCGCCTAAAACAGTGTCCAACACTTATTCAGTGCTCAGTGAATATTGTTGAATGAATCATTATCCTTAATTTACAGATCAGGAACCAAAATGCCAGACCTTCAGATGTCCCACAGCTGTTAACAGCTTTTATAAGAGGAAAGTCCACTGCCCCTGCCCAATGCTTTTTTGATACCGTGTTTCCTTTCTGAGTCAAAGCTGTTAGCCATGTTTAAACAGCGCAGCAATATACTTTTAAAAGATAAGAATTTGAGACTAGAATCTTCTCTAAATGTCACATCTTTCTTAAAAACTTCATCAGTTTCGCTGGATTGGCAAGAAGCACTGGCAGGACAGAGTTGCCAACAGTAGATTCTGGAGGGCTGCCATCAGTTCTCCGTTAGTTGGCGCTGAGTAATACTCTAAGTTGTTTTGTAATTGTTCTCAAGTTAATTCGTGTGTGCATGTCTTGACACCTGTGTTATAGGTTCTTTGGGCTCGGGGACCATAACTTTTATTTCTTTTATATCCCTGCATTCTGCCCAGTACTGGGCTCTAAATAGACTTATCCCTGCATGGTTACAAGATGGCTGCCACCTCTCCAAAAATCATATTCTTACAAACCACGTTCAAGACGGTGTGGCGGATCTGAATATGCCACGACAAAATATGCTACTTTGGCATAAGGATTATTTGGAGCTGTAGGCAAGTGAGAATCAACAGATGTAGAAAAAATCCTTCTCAGAGTTTCCCTTATCTCACTAAAAGCAGAAACTTCTGAGAAATGAGGACTGCCATAAATCCTCTCTCCTGGAGAAGTTTTATGGCCATGAAGAAGACGGAAAGTTGGCACCAAGATGGGTCTGCAAATAAATCTTACTAAAATAACCCTTGTCTTCCATTAGGTTCCCCTCATATATTTACCTTCCCATAGTTTGCCACCCCTAAAAGCCTAAACCCCTTTTTCCTTTGTCTTGTTGCTTTTCTACAAATTTATTACTCCTTAAGATGCTATATAAGCCCAAGTTCTAACCATCCCTTTGAGTTACTCTTCACTGAGTTTCTCCTGCATCTAGGCATGCTAAACATGTTAACAAATTCTGGTTTTTTTCTCTTGTTAATCTGTCTTCCGTCTGTCTAATTTGCAGGGCCCCAGCCAGAGAAACCAGGAGGGTAGAGGAAGAAGGGGTTTTTCCTCCTCTACAACAGGAAGAAAAGAATTCCAATGGAAAAAGGAAACTCCCATTTTTTTTTTCATGGAAGAAAAAGTATTTTCCAGAACCCACTCTCCTACTCCTAAGCCGTTGGCCAGAACTAGGTCACCAAATCACCCAGGGAGGCTGTGAAACTGACACCTAGCAAGGAGGAACAGGCTGGTGTTGATTTTTCTAGGCTAGACATCTTGGTGCCCCAATCAAAACTGAGGTTCTGTTAGTAAGAGAGAAGGAAGGTAGACTCTAGGACCATCTCTTAGCAGTGTCTTTCACAGAGATCAGTATACAAACACTGAAGACTCTCATTAAGGTCTATTTTGATGTTTACCTGACTATATTTGGAGATCTGGAAGACCATGGCAAATCATCTAAGTCAGGCTCGTCTTTATTTTCCTCCTTGCCTCCCTTTCTTCTTCCTTTCTGTTTCTCCCTTCCTTCGTCTTCTTTCCTTCCTTCTTTTTTCCCCCTTTCTTTCTCCCCTCCTCCTCCTGCCCTCTCCTCTCCTCTGGTACCAAATAGTCTTCTGAAGCATCATTGTTTCTCATACTTAGTATTCCATTGTATATTTAATCAGTGTCTTATTGTTAAATGTTTAGATTATTTCCTTCTAGAATACTTTTAAGGTAGTCTTGTCCAATTGATTGGATAAGAGACACTCAAATCACTGCTTGTCCTACTGGTGTCATCCTTTGCTGTTCCCTAAACTCACATTTTCTGTTCCTGCAAGAGTAGTTTTT